ACCTGTGCGACGACACAATGGGAGGGCACAGCCACCATCCTCTGGATAGGTGCCTTCACTGTTTGTGGTAGAGTCAGCCGGATTGCTCTCCGGGGGGTGCAGTGCTTGCAAGTGCTCATCGGCATACTGTTCCTGATGGACGAGCCAGACCGAGAGATCTTCCACAACTTGGTGATAGAAAGAGTTAATATTTCCCGCTGTGTGCACCCTATTGTCCCATTGGGTCCATGAATTATCTGCAAAGGTAAGGCACTGAAATAACCTGGACGATGGTAAGATATATGCCTGAATCTTCTGATCCATGCCTGGCATGTGGTTTTGTGGAGCAGGCTGGAATTGTAGTCGCCTACCCATAATGCGATAGACAAGACTTGCGTGTTCACACCAGGTGCAGTACTGTCATCCTCTTTGGCAGATGGCACAGTGCTCTTCTTCTATTCAGCGGACAACGTCTGCGAAATCAGAAACGGTTTAAGGTTTGCAATTGTAAGCAAGGAGACATACATGGCATAGTACGCACAGCGGCCTCACAGCATTCGATTTTGCAGGTTGCGCAGCAGGGGGAGAGTTGTTCAATTCTGCAGATCGCAGCGGAGATTCATTGCGGTTTTGACCATTTCTGTCAGGTGCCTCCGGCTGTACTAAGCCCTTTGGCTCTAGTATGTGCTCTGGAGGGAGATCATCTTCAGTCGGGGGCTCCATCAGGTAATCAGAAGACGGGTCAGTGCCATTTGGGGCAGGGGAGGAAGCGGGGCTACCGTTCTGACCCGTAAATAACGCCTGGGCGTTGTATACGAAATTACGAATATAACGCCCGGGGGGCGTTATGTTCAGTAAATCGGTGGCAACTTCGGTGGGGGCCCAAAAAATAAAATAAAATAAAAAGAAGTCTGTACAAAAAATATGTTGTCCAGAATTGCAATGAGACCAACTTTTGGTTCAGGGTCACTTCAGAAAATAGAAAAAAAATAAAATCAACCAAAATATAGCAATGTACCCCTTGGAAGTCAAAGCCTTTCAACCCCCTTTAAAATCCATGGATACCCCTCTCCCTGCCCTTTCAAACCCATGTATAATATCTCTACAGCACTCTGCCCATGGAACATTCAAATATAACGCCCGGGCGCTCTGTTTGGATATAAGGCCTGGGCGTTATATTCGACAGGGCGGTTTTATTTGAAAGAAGTGCGTAAAATTGAAAATCTGATCTTTTAAGGGTAAGTACTAAGTACCGAGTTGAAAATAACGCCCGGGCGTTATTTTCAGGTGAAGACGGTAGAGGTTCGGGCCAGGCGGGTGAGAAATGGGTGGACCAGATTCGTGAAGCTGAAGCTCATCAGCCACACTTGTGCTCAGAGCAGCTGCTAGTCGTGCAAACGCTGGACAAGTAGCTGCACCTCGTGTGTGTGTGTGTGTGTGTGTGTGTGTGTGTGTGTGTGTGTGTGTGTGTGTGTGTGTGTGTCAGATGAATGAGAAAGGGCAACGGTCGTCAGTAGAGTGTAAGGGTCCTGCGTTGTGCTTCCAGTCTACTCGCGTACCTGATTGTTTTTTTTTTCCTTTCTTAATATCCTGATGTGTGCGTGCCAGCCTTGTGTAGGAACCATGAATCTTCTCTGGGCCTCGTCCCACTGCTCAGAAAACGTTGAAAAGGGCATTTGTTTCTTCACACATCAGGTGGCAGTCGACATCTGCTACTATTCGTAGCAGCGGTTGTCTTGCCACTTATGTGTGAAGATGAGCTGACCACTTTTCATGTTTCGTCAGTGGTATGTCGAGACCCTCTGTGTCTCTTTATGCTCCCAATCTTAACGGATGTCCTGAATCAGACTATGCCGTTGTCAGAAAGGTCTCTCTCTCTCTGGCTCTCTCTGTGTCCCGATCTCTTCTTCCTTCCTTTGGACGCCCTGGCAGACGCTGTTCTGAAAACTCGAAGACCGCATGGCCCTGCAGAAATGATGACTCGCAGGAGTTGGGGTTGGGATATCTGTTCCAAACGGTATTCTGTTTCTGAATGTATTTGGTCACAAATCTAGGACCAGGGGGGGTTTCAGCACGCACGGTGTTATGTAGAGGGGGGCCATTGTTTACCTTTCTTGAAGGTTTTTTTTTCTCTTCTTGAAGATTCAGAGCACTTCTCGATTTGCACATATCATCCATCCTTTACGTGGGTTCAACGCTAATTTTCTCGACACCATTCCCCTTTTAAGGGATGTCCTGAAGGACAAGTGGCAGGGTATTATGGAACGAGTCAAGCGACCGAGCATTATGAAGGTGTTCTGAATTTTCCTGGATGTTCTGCCCTTTCGTGGAGTTATCTGGCTGGAAAAGAGGGTAAGATTCAGAACTACGAAGTGAGTGTAGATAAAAGACAATAGACTGAGTAGAAGAGAGGGGGGGGGAGGATGAATACAAGCAGTGCTCATTGTGTGTCAACTCACAAAAGCACACAACCGCACCCACCCACCTACCCACGCACACTATATTTACGACACCCTCTCCCGCGCTTGCCCCCACACCGAGCACACAGAGCGATTGCACACCACACCTCGGGCAACACCTATGCACGCCTATTGGCCCTGTGAAAGCTGTGTGCTCGTATGGGGTGGTCCATGTACTTTACAGGTGCACGGCAAGTAACGTTTAAACTTTAAAGGCGTGGATCTTGGGATTAGAAAGGGATATTAAAAAAAGGAAAAAAGAAAAAAGGAAGAAAAAAAAGGAAGGAAAAAAAGAAAAAAAGAAAAAAAGAAAAAAAGAAAAAAAAAGAAAAAAAAGGGAAAATTTGCCAAATACCCCAAGGAGTTGAGATATATCATATATGCCAAAATGCCCCCAACCGATGTGAATAGGGAGGAATGCCTGCCTTTGCAGGGTACTGTCCAACATTGCAAAATGCTCCGGTGCTCGCCAACTTTTCCAAGGCCCGATTTCAAAGTGCCCAGGCCCAAACGGCAAGGTCCAGATTGCAAATTTGCACACTGGCCTGACAGGGGCATTACACAGGATTCGGCCCAAAAGGACATTCCGCTCTACCCACATCTGTCAGGGGCATTTTGGCATGTATCTCAAGATTCTCAACTTATCAGGGTGTTTTGCAAATTATCCGAAAGAAAAAAAAAGAAAAAAAAAGGGACGTTGAGATGACCCTCAGCGAAGTTGTCCATATTGCAATTTCACAAAACCTATCCTTCCCAATTTATTAATTTTAGCAAAAAATCTTTCTTTTTTTTTCATTTTGATTATACTTTTGCGCTGGGATTGACTGTGAGACCTTGCCTGTACCTTCAGTGACTGGGCCGTCCTGGACAGGTACGCAGCTGACGCAGAGTTGGACTGGTCCGCCTGGCCTGTAGTCTATGGGAAAAGCAAAATAAAATTAAAAAAAAGAAAAAATAAATATTTCCTCCTTCAATCCCCCATATACCAACCAGATCAGTGCATGTGGATGCTGTGCAGACTGTGCAGGTTGTGGTGTCAGAGTAAGAGCATACTCACACTGGTATGTTCCTAAATGTATCTGACTGCAATTGTGGCCAGACCTTGATGGATCTGACCGGAATGACGTCCAGAACTTGGTAGAACAAGTCTTAGTGTTGAGTATATTTAGTCGTGCTTTTTCTTTAGCTGCTTTTGTCCCTTGTGTTTTTGGGCTTTTCCCCCTTTTCCCCTGTTATTTTGCCTGTCTGACTGACTGTGTGCTCAATCTGCCTAATCTTTGTGAAATCTGTCCTCCGTATGTTTTGCAACCCCTTGTAGGAGAGGCCTTTTTGTCCCGTATGCCGAGCTGAGTTCGACACAATCACAAAGAAAAGACTTCAGTCCGAAGAAGGCACTGTCACAGCTGCGCCGAAGCGGCAGAAGACACATACAGAAAATGTGAGTTGACTTTTTCATCCTTCATCCATTTGTTTTCAGGGCTAGAACCCCCTGCTTAGAGTTTTGCGGATAGACATCTGTTAGGATTTCTTTGGAAATCTATCTGGTAGGTTTTGTCATCTGTTAGGATGTCTTTGGGAATTCTTAGGTTTTGTCTTTTGTTGTCTCGTTGCTGTTTCGCTAACTTTCGAGGGTTTTCTTGCCCGTGCTGATGAGGTTGAGGCCAGAGGATGCTGCCCCTGAATTTTCTTTTTTATTGTTTCCGTCTAGGCTACCAGCCGGGCTGCCCGGGTCACCCTATTTTACTGGGCGGCCCGGCCGTGCAAGGACCACGAAAAGTCCCAGCAAAAAAAAAAAAAAAAAAAATGAAATCCAAAAAATCCGAAAAAAATCTATGTTATGCAGAGAAGTAAACTGAACAACTTTTGCCTCAGGGTCACATCGAAATTCCTTACCAAATTTAAAATTAAAAAAATAAAATATAAAAAATCAATTTAAATAATTTAAAATTTTAATTTTTGGTTTTTAATTTTGCCCGGCCGGGCAAGTGGTCCCGGGCCACTCTGGTAGCCTAGGTTTCTGTTGTATTGTTGCCTTGGGCACTGGGCCCATAATGAAATTTCGGCGTTAGGAACAAACCAAACCACACAAAACAAGACATTTTTGGACGTAATATCAGCTACAAAGTACAGATATTCCAATGCAGTAATTTTCTGCTGAAGATTCTGAAAAAGATACTTGGTAGGATGTTTTTTGAACTTTTTTCCATGTTTGGGCCCATAATGTTTTAGCTACAAAAAACTTTTGACATGTAGTGCGCACTACATGTCAAAGACACCGACAATAGAGTGTCTGCTGCAGGTGAGGTCCTGGTCCTGTTCGGTCCCGGGTCTTCTCTTGCCTGCAAATTTGCTTTCATGTTAGGAGGTGTGACCTTGTGCTGCTTAGCAGTTGATTGATTACTCCTTCCGCCACCTTTCTGTGGGGGGGGGGGGGGGGGTATACGAAGGATTCATCACGCTTCGGACCTGGGCCGGTAGTGAACGTGGAGGATGCTGTTGGAATGTGCTTGGGTTCCTAACCCTGCGGGTACGTGGAGCTGAAACACTGGCTTCAGTCGGGAGACCATCCCCAGTCTGTGAGTGGGAGAGAGAACCTACTGCACATTTTGCTCCACTAGTGCATGGTGGCGGGGCTTGATTGGTTCGTAATCCTGTTTGTAGTTGAACCACCAGTTCACACAAGGCCGAGTTGATGAAGCTACCTTCCAAGGCTTGCGAGCCTCGGACTCTTGTTTTTTATTATATAATAGTGTTCACTACTACCGCCCCACTCCTGAAGCGTCATCGCCTTACCACGTAAACTGGTAAGAGCCCGAATCAGTGTCGGGCGAACTGGTGTTTTAAGAGGGAAGTATTGCTGCAAATTGATGAGAGGTTGTCTGCTGCCATGCGTAGGAGTGCAACTATTTCTGAAAGACCCCGGGCGGAGGGTAAAGTCTCCATCTACGTACGGCAAGAGGTTTCAACTGACTGCTGAAAGATCCCGGCTGAGAGGTTGGAAATCCAAGCCACCAAGCATATGGAACATAACTAGTAACTACCTTCTTCACCCGAATAGAACGCCCGGTCATTATGGCTGCACCTGGACTGAAAGTTGCCTCAAATACGGCTATAATGACCGGGCGTTCTATTCGGGCGAAGACGGTAGCAACAGCAACTGGCCTAGCTCAGTTGGTACACCTACGAACTGTTAAGATGCAGAACCGAGTTCGAATCGAATTCTGATGGAAAATCTGATGAGTGAAAACCATGGTAACCGTCCGGACGTCCGGACCGGGTTCCAGACAGTCTGGTGTCCTTATGTCCGGTGTCCGGTCCTTATGTCCGGATGGAGGTCCCTGGGGCAAAAAAAAAAAAAAAAACGGGGCGGGCCAGGACGTTTATCGGGTCCTGGCCGGCCCTCGAAAAATAACGGGGTGATTTTTCAGTGTCTTTTCACCCCACCGGACAGGGCCTAGAGGTCCGGACACAAGACACTGCATATTTTTGGGCTGGCAGCTTTCGCACAGGCCCGAGCAATTTCAAAGCGGCCGTTTCGACGTCGCGCCTGACACTGCTGCCCGTTGGGGGGGGGGAGAGAGAGAGAGAGAGAGAGAGAGAGAGAGAGAGAGAG